ATGCCTGCGTTTGGCAGAGTCAGGTCAGTTCAAGGCCAGAACTAAACACCTAGACATTCGTTTCGGAATGTGTGCCAGAGTGTTCAGGAGGGATTAGTTGCACTGAAGTATTGTCCCTCTGCCAAGAACCTAGCTGATGGGTTCACGAAGCCACTCACCTTCCAAAGACATGGGGAGTTTTGTGAAGGTCTGGGTTTGGGACGACCAAGGGTCGATTCTCCCCTCAGACGCGAGACAAGAGGGGGTGTTGGGTGTAGTGAAGGGTTAACCTTCTGTGTCTCGAGGCTGAGAGGAGGCGCTTACAAGGGAAGTAAGCCAGGATGTGACGAAAGCAGCTTGGAATGCTGTGAGCTGAGTGAAAAGTGAAAGCAGCTTTGCTACGCAGCTGCAAACAGAGGGAGAAGATGCAACTTGAATCAGATGGAATTTCTTGATTGTAAATATCCTACTTTTGAGCAAATAAAGTGATATTAGGACAGAAGAAACATGTGGGACTTGTTTTACTGCCCTTTCAACACGGACGCTGTGCAATTCTGCCAATTGCTTTACGACCTGCAGAGGCGTGCAGGGGAAGCGTGCCGGACGCCAAACAATAAAGCAATAAATCTACCTAACAATGATGGCATACACTGGCTGAACACCAAGGAATGGTGGGAAGTATGACCTGGGGAATTTCCAAGGGATGAAGACTGAGAGCCCAGGGATTGGTGATCAGACAGGGACAGTGTGTGGCAGAGAAAAGTCCAGAAGCAGAAGCAGAGGCAGAAGTAGGAGATAGGAGAGGCCAAGAGGCAGAGATGAGTCAGGCTAGTGAAGGAGCCAGGGTGTCCCCCCTCCTGCTGCAACAAGCTCCCCTCTCCCGGTGTCTCCCAGGACCAGAAGAGGGATGAAGAGGGAGGAGCAGAGAAGGGTGCATCAGTGGAGTCTTAGATAGCATGGAAAGGACCTGGGGAAGGAGGAGAGCTAAACAGCTGTGGGAAGGAGGGGATGTTCACCCTCCACAACTGCCTCATGGGGGCAAGACCTACTGAAAAGAGTTGCTGTGGCCTGGCACCTGTGAGCAGGCCTTGCTTCTTCTAATATTCTAATTATTCTAATAAGAGTTATCTTCTTCTTGTTGTTGTTGTTTAGTCGTTTAGTCGTATCCAACTCTTCGTGACCCCATGGACCAGAGCACGCCAGGCTGTGCTGGTCCCCGTGGGAGGTTACCGTGGGGCGAGGTCCAGCAGCTGAGTTGAGGGTCGGCAGACAGTCCTCCACGGGCGAAGCGGGGTCCAAAGCGAGGAGCCGGGCAAGGACAGGAACTCTGGAGGAACAGGACCAAAACAGCTCTTCAACGACGTTGCTCCCGCAACCTGGGACCGGGCTGACTGGCCTTTATCTTCTCTGAGGCCAGGGGCGGTCCCGGCCCCCAGGAGATCCGCCTCTCCTGGCCTTAAGGCGAGCACTCCTCCTGGGAGAAACCAGTTCCCTCCACCTCTCTGCCCTGAGCCTCTGCAGCTCAGGAGAAGCTGGAGGGTTACTGGACCCAGGGGGAGACTCACCTTCCCCTGACAGGGCTGGGAGAGGCGCACCTGTAGGCACTGTGTCCTCAACCACCTCCGGAGCCAGAGTGGATTCACCTGCTGCCTGCTCCTGAGGATCCGGCACAGGTGCAGGCACTTCAGAATCAAGGCCCTGCCCCAATTCAGCCGGCCCTGGAGGCGGGGACTCCTGTGCAGGCTGGGATTCCTCTGGTACAGCCTCTGAATTGGATTCCCAGGCCATCACACAGGCATTCCTGTCTTCCATTGCCTCCCACAGTTTGGTCAAACTCATGTTCATCTCTTCGAGAACACTGTCCAACCATCTCGTCCTCTATCGTCCCCTTCTCCTTGTGCCCTCCATCTTTCCCAACATCAGGGTCTTTTCTAAGAAATCTTCTCTTCTCATCAGGTGGCCAATGTATTGGAGCCTCAGCTTCACGATCTGTCCTTCCAGTGAGCACTCAGGGCTGATTTCCTTAAGAATGGAGAGGTTTGATCTTCTTGCAGTCCATGGGACTCTCAAGAGTCTCCTCCAGCACCATAATTCAAAAGCATCAATTCTTCGGCGATCAGCCTTCTTAATGGTCCAGCTCTCACTTCCATACATCTCTACTGGGAAAACCGTAGCTTTAACTATACGGAAATTTGTTGGCAAGGTGATGTCTCTGCTTTTTAAGAGGCTGTCTAGGTTTGTCATAGCTTTTCTCCCAAGAAGCAGGCGTCTTTTAATTTCGTGACTGCTGTCACCATCTGCAGTGATCATGGAGCCCAAGAAAGTAAAATCTCTCACTCCCTCCATTTCTTCCCCTTCTATTTGCCAGGAGGTGATGGGCCCAGTGGCCATGATCTTCGTGTTTTTGATGTTGAGCTTCAGACCATATTTTGCGCTCTCCTCTTTCACCCTCATTGAAAGGTTCTTTAATTCCTCCTCACTTTCTGCCATCAAGGTTGTGTCATCTGCCTATCTGAGGTTGTTGATATTTCTTCTGGCAATCTTAATTCCGTCTTGGGATTAATCCAGCCCAGCCTTTTGCATGATGAATTCTGCATATAAGTTAAATAAGCAAGGAGACAATATACGGTAATTGGTAATTACATTTATTGTGATGATGGGTTTCAAGAGTAACTCTCACTGGCTTGAAATCAACAGGGGGGCAGAATTTGTAAACTAATGGGAGGCCAGAGCAGGGAAACTGAGGGGAGCAGAAAAGAGGCACGTAGGTGTTTGTGTACAGCATAGTAACAGCTAACCGATATTGCACCATGTACAAGTCTTTAAGTACTTATGGGAGGATTATAGAGAGCATAATCCCACTTAAGAGTAGACATGATGAAATTGCCTGACATGACTAATTTAGTTTCATTAATTCCAATGAGTGTACTGTGAGCATGATCTTACATAAATAAGCCCCAAAGATCCCAAATTTTGTTGCAGGACTTGCGGCTTCTGTCACTTGTGTGAATGAATCACAATAGGTTCAGAATCCCCCAAGTGGATCAGGATGTCTATTCCTCATCAGCAGAAGCGTGTAGAAACCTTTTTGAAATTAGGATTTAATCATGGACATACATTACAGCTCAATTGGCAGGAATTAAAAGAATAATATCAGCACCAATCATTCTGTGTGACTTAAAAGAGCAAGAAGGCATGGCAGGAAGCCTGAGGAGTACGTGCAGAATGTTAATGAGAGATAAAGCACTGACTCCTTTCCCAGCTGGATTTTCCCGCTGGATATCTTTTTAAATTAAGTGTGGCTAGTCCTCATGCCATCATATGACACATTAGTTTGGGTGTATGAAAACCTGGCTTCAGCACATGTGGAGATTTGGTTGATTATGGCATCTCTAAGAAGCACAAAAGACTGCTTCTCTCGGCAAGCTCTTCCAACATCTTTTGGGCACGGACTCATGTAGCAAAGGACTCCTCCAGAAAACTTTTTGATTACACATTCATCATGATTTGTGCTCATAATAATTTCAAGGTGGTTACATCCAACTCCATTTTCAATACTATTTATGCCTGCATAGATTTTTGAGGTGGTCATACAGTTTCATTTCCATTCTATCACATCCTTTATCAAGGATCACATCCACATCAAGAATATGGCACAGAATTCACCCTCAATAAAAATCCTGCCTGGTGGAACCAGTAGAACTAGTAACTGGTTGACATTACACATTCTATCCTTAAAAACGGTGTGGGAAAAATTGGCTGAATTGGGGTAGTTTGCTGAAACTTTTCAGCATACTGACTAAAACAAATAAGTAAATAACGAAAAATAAAAACAAAGAAAGGAAAAGAGAGAGAGAAATGCCAAGCCCTCTCTCAAAGGTACGTCTTAACTCTTGTCTCACACAGAAGGGAGTGGCTCCCAGCTCTCACCTTGGTGCTTTCCTTTCTTCCCCCAGTCTCCCACCCTGGGAGATCTTTCCTTCTCTGCCTCTCACACAGGGTCTTTCACTGGCCAGATATCAACTTCATGTGTGTATTCAAAATATTCTAAATGCTCATTCCAGTATGATATCCAATTGTATTCCGAGATAATATCCAGCTGTTCCTTGTTCTGCTAGGTGATATTTCCCCCCATCTTCACCCCCAGACATTGCTATGAGTCAAGAATAGTCCTCTTCCAATCCAGGATGATGACTTTATCTCTCTCCCCCCCCCAAAAAAAATTCCAACCTTTCCTCCATGTTTGAAAACAATAAATCCTTCATTTTTATTTAAACAGGAAACTCTCCACTGTAGTCATTTATTTTAAAAAATCCATAGTTATTTTCTTGTTGTATATTCATTATTTTACACCCGTGTTTATATCTTGCAATTCCATTTCCTGTAGGGAAATTTATCAAGAGAAAAAGAAAAGAACTTCCATTTCTACCATTTCCATTCTTTTCCCAATAGGGTCACCAGAAGCTTGATAGGTTTCCCCCCAAAATTCCCTCCAAATTATACCCAGAATCCTTTCTGCATCATCTTGTAATTCTCTGCTTTAGAGAGACTAAGCAGCTCTTACATGCAAAGGCATGAACTTCAGTAAACATGGTTTGTTCTGAGATGGCAACTTTTCACATTGATTTCTGTAAGTAATTATTTCTCACTGATTTTTCATAGGTATTTTATTTTCAAATGGTCACACCTGGAGGCAACAAAGACAGTTTGGTGTAGTTACTATGCGGAAGCTGGGGCTGGGGAAGAAAGGCATGGAGCACCAAATAGCAGAGGAGGCCCATCAGCTTGTGGAAGTTTTGCACGTTTGCACGTTCAAAGGGTATGTGATGCTAAGTGATGGTGCTGAGCTGGAGTATGAAGATATATTTGTGTACTACCTCTGTCCATTTTAGAAAGGAATGTGATATGTATTTCTTGGTTCCTAATGGAGATCCCAGCAATTTCTCTTGACCACCATGAACTCCCACTCTCAGCATGAACAGGAGCAGCTGAGCTAACATTAGTATAACTTTATTTTGCAGGACAGCCACTTGACCCCTCCATGCCCATCGCTTATTCAGTCTCCAACGTGATATGTCCTGTGGCTTTTGGGCACTGGTTTGCTCTTGAAGATGAACGGTTCCAGAAGCTGATGGAAGCCATGGATTTTGTCATAAAAAAATTAAGTAGCTTTTGGCATATCGTGAGCAGTTATTTTCATTTCTCCTAAGCCAAACAGGTCCCCCTGAATACCACAAATCAGGGCCTTAATACCACAAATCGGTATTTTGGAATCCGTTATGATAGAGGATAGAGGGTTGAAGAAGTGACAGCAGGTTTAAATTGATTTGAGATAAGGGCCACTTACTATCTCTCCGCCTGCTCAATTTCTTATGATTATCATTGAGATAAAATAAAATAAAAAGCATGAGTAAGAAGACTTTGTCCACCACAGAGGACTCTTTGGAGGAACGATGGGATAAAAATGGAACAATGACCTTCAGAATAGGTCATCTAGAGCCCACCAAAGGGGACAGAGGTGAGCAAAATAATCTTTTCACTAAGGGAATTGAATACTTTTGTTGCCATCATGGAAAACTAAATGTGTCTACTCTCTACTGACTTAGCAGTGGCAATGATGATGGTGCCTATAGTGAGGCCCCTGCAGCCAAAACCTTGGCTGGAATTTTTTTAATGAAAGAGAGACTTGCAACTTAAGCACTGTCCCTACTGCTAAGGAAAGCAGCTCCCTCCTGTATGACCCCACTAAACTCTTTTTCCAAACTTAAGTTCAGTTCTCCACATTTCTACATCCCTTCCGCATCTTTTTAAAAAAAGTACTCATGAAACTTCATCAGAATTTTAGTGCTAATTTCTCCTAATGCACACACATGTGTGCAATTTTGCCCGAAGCAAGGCCTGTATGTTATTTTCACTATTGTATGCATTTTTAGGCACACATGACCATATCATTTGCATTTCCATTTTTGTACGCATCACTTGACTGGGAAACTACAGACAACTTTATATCAGTGTTCTAGGCACATTTGAAACAAGGAATTTCATTAGTGTGAGCAGTTTCTGACTTCTGGGCACAGTTCTAAGCCCAAAATTTCCCATTAAAACTGCAGAGTGGAAGGAAAGGAGGACCTTTTTCTGCCTCCTCACTTCCAACCACTCTTTGAAGACTGGAGAAGAGATTTAAGAATATTAGGGGGTCAGGTAGGGCAAGTGTCAGGGAACTGACATCGGAGCGGGAGGTGAAGGGGAGGCTCCTAGATGATGCTGGAGAAGGACCCAGCAGCAGGGGGAGAAGCAGCTCAGTGGAGGGGGAAGCATTTAAGCGCAACACCAGGAATAAAGGTGGGCAGATGGGGGAATCGGAGAGAGGGCTCCAGGACTCTTCACTGGAACTCAGTGAGGAGGGGACAGGTCCTCCGCTACCTACGCCCTCCCTGCGCAGAAGGCTCCTGCGCAGTGAGAGGAGGAGGAGACTGGGTGTCAAACAACTCTTATGTTGGAAGAGATTCAAGAAACGCCCACTGACGGATTCTGCCAGTGACTGAGGCAGTCATGATTAGAAAGGGCTGTGCAGTCAGAAAGGTTTAACAAGGCAAATTAGCCTAGAGAGGCACCAGTTTACGCACGAGTAACTCATACTCATCACAGCAATCCGTCAGCCCCTGAAAGTTGCTCGTGCGCAGCAGCAGGCAGGCAGCATCATGAGCAAGCCCGGAGAAGCCAGCACCCAGGGGGGAGCAGCTGGAGGGCAAACGCTGGTGGAGAGGAACCGAGAGTTGGAGCAGCATGTGGCTATTCTGACGGCGTGGCTGGACGAAAGGCGGTCTCAAGATGCACAGGTCAGACCCACCTCCATAGCAAGGAAGGTACCGGGACTGGTACACAAATTTGGGGGGAAGCCGCAAGAATACAGTGCGTTTTGAACGGAAATAGAGTACGCATTGGAATTGCAGCATGACGATTTTGAAGACGACGCAGCGCGGGTGGCATATATTGTGGGTCACCTGCAGGACGGGGCCAGGGAATGGGTCAGGCCCCTTATGGCGACGCAGAATGCCGCCATGCAGGACCTGAGGAAATTCTTCCAAGCAATGGACGCAATGTTTTCCACTGATGTACAAAAAAGTGTGACAAAGCGGAACTGATGAACTGTAAACAGGGGAGCCAGTCAGTTAGGGACTACTGGTCGCGCTTTGCCATGATAGTTCACCGCCTCGGGTGGCAACTGGACTCCGAACCCATACAAATGTTATTCGAGGAGGGGTTGTCCCCAACGGTTAAGGATGAACTTTCCCGCGCACCCCGCCCACAGGGGATGGATCAGCTGACCAAGGCTGTGCTTGCGATTGGCGTGCGGCAGGAAGCGCGGGCCCAGGAGAGGCGGGAAGGGAGAGAGCAACGTTGCCATGACTACCGCATTCCTGAAATACCAAGGCAGCCTTCCCCGCCAGCAGAGCCAATGGAAATAGATGGGGCACGCACCAGCGAAGGGCGCGAAAAGGAGGGAAAGGATTGGAAAACCTCCAAGAAGTGTTACCTTTGCCAGCGGCCAGGACATTTTGCCAGAGCCTGCCCTCAAAGAAAGGCCTGGCAAGGAATGGTGGGAGCTGCAGGGGGTGAGGAGGAGGTGGTAAAGGAACAGGAACAGGGAAACGGGAACGCTTGGCTGCCAATCAAGGGGCACAGCAGCCAGGCCAGCCACCAGTAAAAGTGCCCCAACCAGACCCCCCCAAGGTGGCAATAGCCATCGAAGTGGTACTAGAACTCCCGAACGGGCACCCAGTCAAGGTGAAAGGGATGCTGGATTCAGGCAGCTCATGTAATTTCTTCAGCAAAGACTTTGCATTAGAGCACCAGCTCCACTTACTGCCTTTGGATTTTCCCTTGCAAGTGACCACCATTGATGGCAGGGAGCTTCTAGGAGGGGAAGTGACACACCAGACCCCACCAATGAGAATGAGGGTGTCCAGGCACTCGGAGACCATTGCCTTTCACGTCGCCTCACTAGCAGGGCCCCCAATAATATTAGGGATGAGCTGGCTAGCACAACATGATCCAGTGGTGGCGTGGCATCAGAGGACAGTCACCTTTGGGTCAGCTTACTGCCTGGAACACTGTCTAGGGGGGGAAGCCCCAAGAATGACCGTGGCCAGGGTGGCTGGGATGGCGGTGGAGCGGAAAGGGGAGGTGCCGCCGCAATACGCAGATCTGCGGGAGGTCTTCAGCGAGAAGGAGGCAGATAGACTGCCACCCCATAGGCCCTTTGACTGCCAGATCAACTTGCTTCCGGGGGCTCAGCTGCCAGTGGGTAAGCTGTATGCCATGTCTGACAGGGAGATGAAGGAGTTGCGAGAATTTATTGACAAGAAACTGAAAAGAGGCTTCATAAGAGAACCAAAGGCGGTGGGGGGCAGTCCGGTGTTCTTTGTGGACAAAAAGGACACAAATAAACCCAGGCTCGTAGTGGACTATAGGGCTGTCAATTTGGTGTCAGAACCCGTGACCTTCCCAATGCTCAGGATTGACGACATTTTAACGCGAGTGAGGAAAGGCAAAATTTTTACCAAGCTGGACCTCAGGGGCGCATACAATTTGATCAGGATGAGGGAAGGGGACGAATGGAAGACCACAATGTTCACACCCCTAGGTGCCTTTGAGTACTTAGTTATGCCTTTCGGATTACAGTCGGGCTCCGCCTGTTTTCAAGCTTTCATGCACCACGTGTTGGGGTCTCTGCTGTACAAGAACTGCGTAGCCTTCTTGGACAACGTCTTAATTTATTCGGACAATGAGGAGCAACATGTTAGAGACGTCAGGGAAGTGTTACAACGACTGCAGAAGCACCAGTTGTGGGTCAAGCTGGAAAAATGTCAGTTTCACGCCAGAGAAGTCGAGTTTCTGGGGTACAAGTTGTCTGACAAAGGCTTAGCAATGGACCCAAGCAAGGTGCAGGCAGTGCTGGAGTGGAAGGCTCCCAAAACACGGAAGGACGTACAGAGGTTCCTAGGGTTCAGCAACTTCTACAGGAAGTTCATCAAGAACTTCGCCCACTTGACAGCGCCCATCACGGATTGTCTCAGTAGCAAAAAGAAGTTTGTGTGGACAGAAGAGGCCCAGCAATCCTTCGAAAAACTGAAGAAGGCGTTCGCATCGGAAGAGCAACTCCTGCACGTAGATCTGGAGAAACCCCTGAGGCTAGAGACCGACGCGTCTGACAGAGCCGTAGGGGCGGTCCTTTTGCAGCCAGGGAGGGGCAAGCAGGAATGGAAACCGTGTGCCTTTTTCTCGAGAAAACTGAGCAAGTCGGAGCAAAACTATACAGTGTATGACCGCGAACTGCTGGCAATCTATGCGGCCTTTCGTCGTTGGCGTCATCTACTGATAGGGGCGCAACAACAGATCCAGGTTTGCACAGATCACAAGAACTTGGAGTACTGGAGAACCGCACGAGTACTCAACCAGAGACAGATTCGATGGGCACAGGAGTTCTCCAAGTTTTTCTTTGAAATCCGATACGTGCCTGGAGAGGAAAACGTAAGAGCAGACGCTCTATCGCGTAAACCGGAGTACCTGGAAGGAGAGGGGCCGCCGGAGAAACGACACGTGATCCCCGAGGACCGATGGGTGTGTGGGGGAACTTTGGTGGGGAAACGAGAACTAGCCGGGCTGACCAGAAACGACGTGTTCGCGCAAACTAAAATCCGGGAACTACGAGACGGAAGAGGGACCCAAGAAGGGTTTGAGGAGAAGGAAGGGGTACTGTACTATAGGGGAGCGCTGTACGTACCGGGGGAGACCCTGAGGGGAAAGGTACTCAAACAACTCCACGACAACCCCACAGCAGGGCACTTTGGACAGCACAAAACCATGATGCTCGTGATCAGGCAGTTCTGGTGGCCCAGGGTGAGGGAGGATGTACGGGAATATGTACGGGGGTGCGACCGCTGCCAAAGGGCAAAGGGGGAGTGGGCTGCCCCCACAGGATTACTGGAACCCTTACCCACGCCAGGGAAACCCTGGGAGGTGGTATCCATTGATTTTATGACAGATTTGCCCAAGTCCCGGGGAAAGACAGCAGTCATGGTAGTGGTCGACCTACTGACAAAAATGTGCCATTTTATAGCTTGCTCACATGCTGTAACGGCAGAGGAAACAGCCCGGTTGTTTGTGGAGCACATATTC